CCGTTAGTGGAATTTTGTCTTGTCGCGTGAAGAAGACGCAATTGCTAGTCGTGTAACTGTCATTGGTTTCCTTTCAACTTAAAGCTAATTGTGAGTTAAACAGTGGAGAGAGAAAGAGAGAGAGAGAGAGAGAGAGAGAGAGAGAGAGAGAGAGGGAGGGAGGAAGAGAGAGAGAGTTCATTGCTGTGTAGTATTCAATGTATGAGTGAAGGAGAAAGAGGAGAAAACAGTCTTTATTTAACCCCCAGGTTGCTCCCCAAGTGGTGCGTGTATCCGTCATGTTGTTTGACAAGCTGTGCTTCATCAACCAGTCAACTGTTCTTTTCATCGGCTTCTCTCTTAATGTTGGCTTCATTATTCCAATTTTTTGGTTGAGATGGCGTCTACAATTGCGAATGGCATTGCCATGGGTGGTGATTATGGCACCCCTGATCCTGCTTTATATATTTTTTTGTTGTACGGAACATTGCCAGCTGGTGCAAATAAAGGAATCATTCATTAAAAAATTTGAGTTTAGCCATCCGCCGTGTTTTCTTGATAACACTACAATGATAGAACACATGAAGGACAAATTAATAGAGCAAAATGCAACAGGTGTATATTATTTGTTGGAAGGTCCTCATGGAAGTGGCAAAACAACAGCTCTCAAATCTGCAGTTCGAGCTGTCAACAATAACATCATGTACCTAACAGTTGATCAAAGCAAGATTTTGGTACTTCACTAGCCAACAAACTTTCCATTGATTTGGGCTGTACAATATTCCATTTTTTCTTGACACCATTGCACAAACTCTTCCATTAGAAGGGCATGCCCCGAAACACTAGAGCAAAAAGTTAGAATTTGTTTGAACTTGTTGGAAGAGGCCCTTCAACTGATACAGGAAGAAGGAAACTCTCCCCCAATTCTCATAATTGATCACGTCAATTTGCTTTTAGATGAAAGTGCCCCAGAAACTGCAGTAGTTCGTACATTGCAGGCTTTTGCAAAGAGAATGGCAGACGAACGTTTGATAACAATTTATTTTGCTTCAAGCGAAGGAAAAGTGTATAATCTGTTTCATCAGAAATCAGCTTCTTCGCGATTGGTTAAATTTACCCATCGTACCTGGGACCTCTCTCGTATAGAAGCAGTCAAGTACTTGGAGTGTCTGTGTCAATTTGCACCAATGACATCATTACTGAAATAATTGATGTAGTTGGTGGACATTTCACTCATATGATAACAGCAAGTGCTATTCTCAAACTGAAGTGGGACAGCGGTGTCAATCTCGAGGAAGTGAAAAATGAACTATTTGAAACAGTAATTGGTGATCTTGAATCACTCCATATTTCTAAAACCCCTCCCAAACACAAGACAAATCATATCTTGACCGACGTGACTTGGTCACTCGCAAGAAACATAATCGCTGCAACTAACAACAAGATCAGTCTTGGAGTTGAAAACATCCTGGAGAATCTTTCGCAAGACGAAAAAGACCAACTGACAAGAGCAAACATATTCTATTTCGACTGGATAGGACAGTATGTGACATTTCAATCCACTCTCGTCCATTCCTACTTTAAAAGTGCAATCGAAAGAGAAAAGTTGATGGAAAATGGGACAAACCAGCAACCCAAGTAATGGACACTATAATTATACAAGACCAGAATAATGGTACATGCTATTATAGTACATTTGTACAAAATGTTGATAAAGACACGATGCAGGCACATATGAATGGATGGGTTAATTTTGGGATGGGGAGTGGTATATACTCGCCCACTTGATCAAATCTTGTCCCCTTGGAGTTAATAAGGTGAATATTCAATGCAGGACTTGCACCCTCACAATACTCATTTTCCCCTCCCCTTCTTGTAAATAGCTTTTGTCCCTCCCCTCTCATATACTGTTTTTGCCCCTCCCCTATCTTCATGCCCCGCCTTTGATCAAAATGAAGGCCTGTGCAGTGAGTGGCTAGGTAGGAGAGCGAGATAGGAAAATTAGCAAACGAAGCGAGCCCAGAAAATGCATTCCTCGACAAATGTATATAGCAAACTTTGTGCATGCGCAAAGATCTCTTTCAGGCTCGTGTCATGGTTTATGGCATATCTAGCCATAAGACCTTATTAGACACTGCTAACGGCAACCTTCTGCCTTATGTATACATACCGACAGGCTTACTTGCAGAAACACTTTCTCTCAATGGTGTATATAGATTTAAAAAAATTATGATGAGAAAGAACAGTGATGATAGTAATGCATAGATACAGACTATCTCTTTGACTTCTTGATAAGTGCCACTCTCTGTGGACGAGGGAAGGTGCATGTAGGACGGTAGGTAGGAAGGGAAAACCAGTAGTTGTCAGTGAGGCAGGGAGAGAAGAGAGAAGATGGATGGGGTTAGAGGGTGTGGGTGAGATGCTGACCTGTTTGTGGGCCTCAGTGGGCAGTGCCTTCTTCTGCTGCCGAGAAGCGTCAGAGTTGCTGAATCCTGGGATGTTTATGTTCCACGATCTCTCTGAAGAGACAAGAGAGCAATAGTATGCTTCCAACCAAACATCTCATTGCTGGCTTGGATGCACTAAATTTAGGAGACATTTAACCACCAAACAGCCTTGCACATGTAGTTTTGAAGCATCTGATAGAGAATAGGGGCCCGAAAAAATCCGAAATCTACAGTCCGGTATGTACATAGTGCTAGACAATGCCAAGACAGAGTGGTGTTTGTAGACCTTAAAAGACTGAGGGAGGGAAAACAGTTACACACACATCCCATGTACCGAGATGGAGTTGCAAGTCACTAGCTTCAAGAGTGCTGGACTTGCGATGAGCAGCCAGTTGGCACGACGACGTCACCACTGAGTCGATGAAGTCATCGGCTAGTTGCATCAGCAACTAATGCAGACAGTCGTTCATAATTGAAGGGTTGAGGTTAGCTGTTTGTATATATAGCTATAGGCCTACCTCCTCCGTGTCTTCGTCCAGTAGCTGGCGTGGACACACCTCGGCTGCTAGATCCTGGAGTTTCTTCTTGCCCACCACTCCTTCTTGCTGTGCCATCACTGCCTCTTCCTAGTCGTCCCTTTCTAGGTGCGCATTGGCTGGGCGTGGCTTGGGTTGGGTCTGAATCTTCTAATTGGAGCGCTCCTCTCCTCGACGACGCGTCTTTTACTGTGTGCTGTTGGTGCAGTTTTCTCTCTACCCTAGCTACCTCAGCTCTTCTCGGTCGGGCGCACCCTCTACCGAGCCACCGTCTCCTCTTTCTCCCTGAAGAAGGCTCTCTTAGAGGGACAAGATGGCGGAGGGAGAGGGAACGGATGCGATCGATGCGGCCATCCAATCTGCGGAGAGCTTGCTAGGGAGCCTTCTCCGCCCGCCGCCGGCTAGTCCTCTCAACAAGCAGCCGCCGCTTCAGAGTGGCACTGAGGAGACGGAGGTGAGGAACAGTAGTCCAGAGTCAAGCCTACAGATCTATCACCGAATAACTTGTGGCGTTTATTGAGGCTTCCCTTTTTCATGCTCACCAGACCGTTAGACCTTGCCTTGCGGTTCTGCATGTTTTGCTGTATTGAAGCGCTGTTTGCAGTGTAGTTGTGCCTGGCTCCGTATGTGTATAGTTACCTGTTGGACCATCCATATAGTGGCGAGCAAAGTGAACCCACTAGTTGTCTGAATTGCATCATTTGTCACACTTGTCAATGTTCATATGCAAACATCATGTGGTATAGCAATTCAATGGCCGTACTCTCTTACTTACGTTCTTGCTTCAATTCGCTCGCTCTCGCTGTGTGAAAGTATACTGTGTCTAGTGTCCACCCAATAAGAAGACCACCTCTCTTGTCAAGTGCTTGGTTGTACCATTGATTTGTAAAGAGACCACCTGCGACCCAATAAGACCACCTTTATGGCCCAAATATGGATGGGTCTCCCTATGGCTCGATCACCTCCCTAAAAGACCACTTTTCACAGCCAAGAGGTGGTCACTTTAAAAATGTTCCACTGTACTATGTATGTATGTACTACATACACTTTATGGTTCATCATAACGTGTGCTGATGTTAATACTCTAGAGTCCATTGGGAGTGGATGTAGAAGAATCTCTCTTCCTTGGACAGCCAGCCCCTCTCTCTCCTGCCCACCACAATAACCTCCCCACCAGCACCAGTGCAACCTCCACCCCTCGGCATGATGTAACGATGACATCAGTGTCGCTACCGGAGCTGGGGGGAATCCCCAGCCAGACCTCCTCCCTCCTCTCTCTGCACGGGTCGGGGATGGCAGGGGGCCCACCAGGACAGCTGACAGCCGGGGCTCACGCTGCAGTGGAACCTCTTATTGTGGAGGAAGTGCAGTCCCTTCATGCTCTATGTGAGGAGAGGGAGGAAGGAGGGAGGCAGGGAGGGAGGGAGAGGGGGGAGGGGGAAGTAGAGGAGAGGGAGAAGGTGTATAGGAGGGAGGGGGAGGGGGAGAGGGAAAGGGCAGGAGTCGCAGGATGACAGAGGGAAAGAGGGGGAGAAGAGGATGTGGGAGGATATGGAGAGGGGGAGTGAGGAAATAGATATTACAGCAGACACACTGCTGCCAATATTGCCTTTAAAAGCATGTGTGCGCAATTGGTTTTGCCATGTTTATTATCACACTTGTCCAAGACAGTTGCCAGACTGCAGGCCTACTTTGGAGGTTACTGAATGCCAAGAACCAATGGAGACAGGAATTTACATCTTCCAGTGGACTGTTTGCACATACTGTGCTCTTTATAGCCCTGCAATTGTCACTCTTTGTAAGGCTATGTATCTGCAGTGCTTTATAGAAAAGGTAGTAGATTGCACAGCCTTGTAGATGAATTATGTGTGCTCTTGCTGAATACGTATATCAAGCCTTGAAGTGACTTGAACCAGAGTATAGTGGCAATACTGTGTGTTAATGTTCCATCACAGGGAGGGGGGAGAGGAGGAAGGGAGGGGAGAGAGAGGGAGGAGGGGAGGGAGAGTTGGAGATGGGATGGGAGGGCGTTCTTTTGCGTCTCTTTTCCTTTCGGGTCTGTTTTGTCTCTCCCGCGGGACGCTTTTACTGCTAGTCTATAGTGATGTCTTGTAGATAGAGTTCGTTATGTGCGTACCCACAGCGTTCTTTTTGTCTCTCCTCACAGCCTCTCGAACCTCTATTGGATCAATTACCCCACCTCCCGACTATGACACAGTCTATCGAATCCTGACTGAGGTATTAATATACTATTCCCATATGTATGTGGTATATAGTAGTTTTGTGTATTATAGCGCATGTTACGGTATAGTGGGAAACTTTTGCGGAACCAAACTTTTCACATTTCAGTTTCATACTTCGAAGTTTGCATGCAGAGACCCCTTTCACAGATTTCATGTTCCCACCTGCAAAATTTCGAATTTCGATGGTAAAACGTTTAGGGACAGCTCACAAACCTAAATTCACAAATCCCCCTCTTTACAGTATGTACGTGCAAGCGCTCTACTGACTGTGCGCGAAGCCAGACTTCCTACGAATCTGCACGCACGGCGGAAGCTAGACTACGAATGACGGAAGTTACACTTCCTTTTGGTGACTAATTGACATTCCTTAGCATGACTAATTGACATTCCCTAAGCATGACTAATTGGCATTCTTAAGCGTGACCGACACGTACGTACGTACGCATATCGCGAGAATACAACCCGGAGTAGTTGCCTCACGCTAATGCGCTTGGAAATTATGGGACTTGTTTATGGTAAGATAACTATCTTCTGCACGATTATCATGAACACAATATTTTCCTCTAGAGACCTGCTCTCACTGTTTTTGTTTGTGTTTTCTCTTAGTCTTGTGTTCTTGGGGTTAAAGTAAACGGTGTTTTAGTTCTTCTTTGGCATCGCGCAGTGCACAACGCAGTGCACACCGCATGGTGTTTACATGGAGGTGTGAGGGCATCTTTGGGGGCCCAGATGTATAGGCTGTAAGTGTTTAGGTGTTGGTGTTTTGTAAGTAGAGAAATCAATGAATAATCAGGTATATACACTTGGTTGGGAATCATTGATGGATGTGAAGAGGAAGATAAAACTCTCCCAACTGTCAAAAGTCACAAACAAGAAGATTCACCCGTACAATAATCCACAGACTTGTATATTCTACAAACACAATTCCCTCCAAAGGGGGAGATAGAAACTGTTTGAGCTCTTTCTCACAATGGAGACGGATTGAGCGAGCGCTACTCGCGACCAGAGCGGACAGCCATTTCTCAAAAATCGAATCTAATTTTACATAAAATGAAATAATAACGAAATACATTACATTACAGGAACTTAGGGAGGCTGTAAGTGTTATCATTGTTACCATTTTATATCGGATGGCAGATTGCCCTTTTTAGAAATTTGATTGTGTCGTAATTACAGATGTCTGCTCTGTCTGTAGAGAGAGAAAGACTTGGAGCTGGCCGCCCGAATTGGGCGGAGTCTGCTGCAGAGAAACGAGCTGTTGGAGGCGGAGCTTGGCTCGCAGCTGGACCACCGTCAGCAACTGGAACAACAGGTTTGTTACCCGTTTGTCTGGTCAGTGGCATGAGCAGCAGAACCACCCTTCAAACCCCCACACTTTTGTGATGCCATGTGTTATAGCCTCAGTGGAGGGGTTATGGGAAGAGCTGTCTAACTTTAGTACGCATTTGCTCCAATTGCATTTGGAGGGAGGATGAAGGGACAATGGTGGGGAAAGACTTACGTAAGGAAGAGTGTGTGTGTGTGGGGGGGGTATTTCGTGTTGACACTTCTTTACGGTATTAAACCCATTTTGCTAGTGAAATTACATACGAAATTCATTACAATTACCTGGGCATTCTTCACGATTACCACCCATACATGGTATGCACACTATTTCACTCCCTCTTGGTCAAAACTACATACATAGGTGGGCACAGTCCAGGAGCCCCCCCATTCGTACCAACGTGTGTGTGTGTGCATGTCCTACTTTTCCAACCAAACTAGAGTAAATGCATTCATGGCGAGCGAACACATGCAAGTTATATAGACTGGTCCTCCGCTCTGCATAGTCTTGCCACCGGCACACTTTCATTGTCGTTGTTCATCAAGTTGGCTTGTTTTTCTTCCCAAGTGTTTTGCTTAGGCTAGGTTCACGATAATTTATGTCGCATTGCCCCGTCGCGCCATTCTGCGTCTTGCTGCAAAGATATCCTTGCGACGCAGCAATGCGGCACGGGGCAATGCGACATATTGTGAACCTAGCCTGACACACCTAGTTCTCACTCCCAGTTGACTTACACCTCTGGTGTCTGTGTGTATCTAGTTCTCTCAATTTCACATATGAGTTTGTATTAAACACTGTATACCTCTGGCGTGTGTCTATGTGTGTTTCTCCACAGTTGGCACAGCTACGACATGCCCTCGGACAGAAGGAGGGACTGCTGCGTCTCTACGCCCAGGACGCTAACGAGGCAGGAGACGAGGGGGCGGGGGAGGGAGAGGGGAAGAAGGGGGACTGGATCAAGGCCCTCACTGAAGAGTGTCGTCACCTACGAGATAGCAACTTGCAGCTGACTGCTGAAGTAAGCAAATGTCTCTCTCTATCTTATGCCTGAATCACCTTGTGCACTATTGACTTCCACAAACTGATAACATGCTCATGCTACGTAATGTCTAAAGTTTCTAGGTTTGCATAGCTACACCATGGACAACTTGCTTGGAATCGAAGTTGAACCGTTACATAATGTATAGATTGGAATGTAACCCAACAGGTGAACCCCACATAGAGCTGTTCAATCACCTGCTATCACAAACATTGTTACCATCACTAACCACTGGAGATATCAATGCCGTGGTGAATGATACAGTACTATCACTGATTTTAATCTGTCATTGACATGATTATGTAGTATATCTCCACTGATGTGTGTGTGCAGGCGGACAGACTCCAGCTGGCAACGGCCGAGGTGGAGCAAAAGGAGAGAAGACTGGTGACCCAGTGTCTGGAGCAGAGTTTGCGGAGGCCAGGAGCCGGCTCTCTGAGCTCAGAGAACGAGAGAGGGAACTTACCTCCTCCAGGAACATGGGGGCTGCAGGTCTGTACAATATCTCTTGAAAAACACACTCTTTCCCAATAACTTAGTCTCGGGTCCTCGGATTCTTTCTTTCCCACTCTCCTGAAAACAAAAACACACTCATCTCTCTCCCTCACCCCTCTCCCTCATCTCCTTCCATCATTTCTCTCCCTCATCTCCTTCCATCATCTCTCTCCCTCACTCCTCTCTCCCTCATCTCTTTCCCTCATCTTTCTCCCTCATCTCTCTCCCTCATCTCTCTTCCTCTTCTCTCTCCCTCATCTCTCTCCCTCATCTCTCTCCCTCATCTCTCTCCCTCATCTCCCTCCCTCATCTCCCTCCCTCATCTCTCTCCCTCATATCTCTCCCTCATCTCTCTCCCTCATCTCTCTCCATCATCTCTCTCCCTCGTCTCTCTCCCTCATCTCTCTCCCTCACCTCCCTCCCTCACCTCTCCCCCTCACCTCTCTCCCTCATCTCTCCCCCTCACCTCTCTCCCTCACCTCTCTCCCTCATCTCTCTCCCTCACCTCCCTCCCTCACCTCTCTCCCACCAGGCCAAGTTGGAGGGGCTGGAGGAGGGCTTCAGAGAGGAGGTGTTGTCACAACAACAGCTGGAGGCCGAGAACGAGAGTCTTCGTGAGCAGCTCACCGAGGCCCACGAGACGACGACTCAACTCTCGTCACACGTGGCCGAGCTTCAGGACAAGTGGGAGGAGTGCTCCGTGCACCTGAAAGAGGCACAGGATGAGATTCAGTCACTGAAAGAGGCGTCCGTTCACAGGTTTGGCTGTAACTTTACTTCTGCCAGTGCATGTTTCTTAACTGTTCTGTAACTTTACTACTGCCAGTGCATGTTTATTGTAGTACCACATTAATTTGGCATGTTGCTATGAATACTTACTGAAAGAGGCTCAGGATCTGATCAGATACAATCTCTGAAGGGGGCCTCTGTTGATAGGTTGGGCATGAATACTCAACAACTCTGCATTGTCTCTGCATTGCGGGTGTGCGTGCTAAAAGTTGAGTAACCCTGACCTATTAATGCGTAGCGACCATACCATATTCCAGGGAGTGTGGTACATAGGGAGGGAGGTTACTGCTTGTTCTGTTGTCCTCTCTCCAGCTCTCCTCAGACCCAGAATGGTGACGAAGCTGCAGGTGCCACTGATGTAAGTCACTAAAAGTCTGCCATTACCTTCTAGTATGTACACCATCCATGGCCATAGAAACAGAGCATGACAGTTAATAGCCTGTCAAAGCGAAAATCTAAGCACTAGGTATATACCCCAAAGTTGTCTCCCCTTCTCAGTCGGTTCAACGTTTAGAGCGTTTCTCAATGCTATCAAGATACTCTGTGATAAGTTATATTCTCTATGTCCAAAACAGCATGATAAAGAGACTGTGTGATAAGTGATATTCTCTATGTCCAAGGGAGAATGATAGAGAGACTGTATGATAAGTGATATTCTCTATGTCCAAGGGAGACTGTGTGAAAAGTGATATTCTCTATGTCCAAGGGAGAATGATAGAGAGACTGTGTGATAAGTGATATTCTCTATGTCCAAGGCAGCATGATAAAGAGACTGTATGATAAGTGATATTCTCTATGTCCAAGGGAGACTGTGTGAAAAGTGATATTCTAAAGGCAGCATGATAGAGAGACTGTATGATAAGTGATATTCTCTATGTCCAGGGAGACTGTGTGAAAAGTGATATTCTAAAGGCAGCATGATAGAGAGACTGTATGATAAGTGATATTCTCTATGTCAAGGGAGACTGTGTGAAAAGTGATATTCTAAAGGCAGCATGATAGAGAGACTGTATGATAAGTGATATTCTCTATGTCCAAGGGAGACTGTGTGAAAAGTGATATTCTAAAGGCAGCATGATAGAGAGACTGTGTGAAAAGTGATATTCTCTATGTCCAAGGGAGAATGATAGAGAGACTGTGTGATAAGTGTTATTCTCAATGTCAAAGGCAGAATGATAGAGAGACTGTGTGATAAGTGATATTCTCTATGTCCAAGGGAGACTGTGTGATAAGTGATATTCCCTACTTCCCATGCAGCATGAGTCCATAGTCCAGGAGATAGAGGAGGCTCTGAGGAAAGAGATCATTGCAGCCTCCACTCTCACTGAGAGACCTTCGTAAGACCTTTACTGACACTCTGTACACACACTGACTCTCTCTGTAGACTTTTGTGTGCCTTTCGTCCATGCTATTACCTCCAAGCTGTGGGCTTTGTTCTCATGCTTAAGCCATTTTATGTTCTTTGTACATGCTGATTGAGTCCTCCAAAAGCATAAAGGATACAGTGTATGTGACGATCATATCGTTGTTCAGCCAAGTTGCCCTAATTTTGTTTGAGAAACCCAAGTGGTGTTCTCAATGCAAGTTGCAATTTACCCATAATGGTAGTCTATCATCTGTGTTCCCTCCCTTTCTCTCCCTCTTCTTCTCCTCCCTCCCTCGCAGGTCTCCCAAGCAGTATGCACTGCAGAGGACGCAGGCAGTAATGGCCACAGTCAGGGCAGCCACTCAGGCAATGGCTCGTCGACAAGAGAGGACTTGCAGCTGCTCACCCTCCCCTCCCCCTCCGTCCACGCGCACCCCTCTGACTCCGCCCACCACTCCACCAGCGGACCTTCTCCCCGACCTCCACAATATCCACCCCTCTCCACCCGTTTAACCCCATCGCCACTAGCTCCCAGAGGGACGCTGTCGTCGGCGACCGGGTTCTCCATCGGAGTTGGCACGGCGGTCTTAATTCGTCTCATTTGGCCCCCCCACCCCGCCCCCCTCTCTCCGACGGCATCTGAAGCGGGAGCACGCTAAGTCTCCCCGACGAGGCTTCGTGGTTGCGTTATCAACACTACGTGGCACCCGAAAGCTCCAAATTGTGAAACCCCTCGAGGCTCAGTGACCCTGCTTAAAGTGGAAGCTAATGGCTCCCCGCAGCTGGGCGGGGCCACCACATTCTTCTCGGACGCGTCCCGCCCGGGTGTTCACATCAAGGGCTGGAAAAGCTGCTGGGATAAAGGACAAGCGCCCGCAAGAGCAGGGGAGCCTCGGACTACCTCCAGAGCTGAGACTGAAGAGTTTGGAGCACAAACGACCTCACTTACTTCACCACCTCCCCTCCTCCCTCCTCACACCCTCCCCACACTCCTCCTCCTCCTTCTCTACCTCTTCACATCGTCACAGGCGAGGCCAACGCAGGGCTAAAGGGATCCACAGTCGACTCAGCAATCTCACCGCTCTTCTGCCATCGTCGACGGTAACGGAATAAACACGCTACCGGAAGGGACAAAATCACATGATCAGTCAGATGAACAGGCTTTGAAGTCACGTGATCAGAGTGGCGGGGCACAGGGAGGGAAGAGAGGGTCCCAAGGAAAGGAAAAGAAGGGGGAGGGAGAGGAGGAGGGGAACACCTCGCTGCTCAAACAAGTAGGAAACCTGTTTAGCTGGTCGACACTGGGTCTTGGAGGTGGCAGCAAGAAGTCTGGAAGTGATAGAGATAGCCACACCACGGGAGATGGAATGGAGTCAGTGGATTCTCCTGACAGAGGGGCCACCAGTGCAGATGTCGGACTGGCTGGGATTCTCTAGTGTATCATCACTCCTTCCTTTTTTAGTGTACAGTGTGCAGGTTATGTGTACCATAGATCACAGCAGATAGCCCTGCACTTCATTGATATCAGTGTAGTCGTAACTCTCATCAATCATCATTTCGTCAGGTCACAGTCATCATGTCTCACCAGATGCCCCTGCACGTGTGTACATATTTCAGTCCTAAACTATGTATGAAGATTGAGAATGTGAACGCAAGCAAACCCAAAAAACAAACAAAAAGTTTACGTTAAAGGCATTTGTCAATCGACATATAAAAAGTAATATACGCTCAGTGACATGCTGAAACAGTATTGAGACGGGGTATATTATAAGTGGAGGTTATTAACCGAGGTTAATAACAGGGGGTCGTCAGAGGGTGCCCAACCCACGGAGCATGCACGAGAGGCGGAGACGTCAACAGTGGAGCATGAGTCACATGGCACGAGGCCATGTGGGTCAGGAGAGGAGAGCAGAGCGCAGGGAGAAGCTAGGAGGATGAAAGTTAGGGAGTGGCACACCCTCCTCTCGCCCAAGCACTCTGTGGGTAATTAGAGGGAGGAGACATGTGTAGGTGTGGCAATCAGGAGGCCACTCCTACTGTCCGGGTACTGTCACGGCCCAGGGTTGAGGGTGTAACAGTGGATAATTATAAGTAATGGCTCCAAAATCATATGCACAACAAGAAGAGTTCAGTTTCCTAGCCTTGAGATGACTTTACATTTGCAAACTAATAACAATTTTTGGGGACACTGGAGAAATATAGGGCATCAGACAAGTTTACAAGTTGGGAACTCGTTGCTGTGAGCTCATTTCAGAGGTTCACACCTCCATAGCACTTAGTCATTCGATACTCAGGTGGCAGCACTAGAGTCACAGACAACACACGCAGTGCAATAGGCGGACCAACACAATATTTAATATACAGATGTATATACCAGTGTTTTCCAACTCGCTTCCCAGACATCCTAGCTAACTAACCTCTTCTACAAGCGACACCCTGCAGTTCCCCTGAATATATACTCTTACTTCGATTTGTTGTAATATTATAGCAATCTACACAGACTGCCAGATTGACTGGTATAATAGAGATTCAGAGGAAAGAGAATTGTTAGGATCATAATATAGCTGAGAAAGAGTGTGCATTGATCAAGAGTTAGTGGCTAAGTGTCGCCATCATTGTCTCCACCCCCACAGTCGAGGTCACAGAACAGGCAGTTGATGTGGGTGCAGTCTGGAGTCTTTAACTTGCAGTGACAGCATCGACCGCAGCACTGGACGTCCGGACACTCACAGGCGGTGCATGCCGGACAAAGTCCCGCACATGACATCACCTGACACCTGTCCGGATCATGTGACACGAGTAGCAGCTCCATACTCTCCCACACCACATACTGCACACCTGCAGACATGAACGATACAGGCAAACCTCGTTAGGGTTTTTGAATCAGTATTTGCAGCAGAGAACTTTAAAAACTCTTTGGGCACTATGCTTGGTAAGCGTATGTTCAATGCATAATCTAGGGCCTAGATACCTTTCGTAAACCCAATCACCGCTTTTTCCTTTATTACAGTAATCACACAGTCGATTTATCTGCATGCAATGAGGAGGGCCAATGAATGTTGATGTGTATGTAAACACTTGTCCACTATATATCATACTGAGCACTATAATCATTCACCCCACCCACTATTGTATGAGCATCTGCATGAGATAATTAAGAGCTTCTGAGCGATGCTAATGGTGGAAAGATATTACATGTATATACGACATTCTTTCTTAAAACAGGGCTCCTAACTAGAAATGCACCTGTTGAGAGGGGCAGACTCTGTCCAGACAGGCCTTAATGTCTGGAGTCTGGCAGTCCAGTCTCTCTGCAACGGAGACACATGCCTCCCCACCACATCCACCACACCCGCCACACCCCTGCTCCGCCCATCACAGCAGGCACACGAGACACACGTCACACTGACACCTCTTCTCTGCACACAGAGAGAGAGAGAGAGAGAGAGACAAAATGCAACTACAGTAAAAAAATATCCCGCAGATGTCCTGACAACACTGATATACAAAGCTCTTATCTACACACACAGAGAGAGATGAGAGATATACACTGCAAAAAGCTATGTTTTACCAAGCTAGCAGATGTGTTGCCAACACACATGCACACAGAGTTGTTGCTATACACCAAATGCCACGGTCAAACCTAGTGTTTTGCCTAGACACACCTGAACACTGTCAGAAAGTAACTTTCTGATGAGCTACTGTAAGACATTTTATTGTTTTGTGGTGAAATTATAGAGGAATGTACTGGATAAATAATATTGTTTGGGAATTTATGTTACCACAAAGCTGGGAATCAAGTCGATATTATAGGCACTCCCCAGATGTTTGTAAGGAGGCGTGTGGAGGATCACCTGCAGGAGTTTCCTGACACAGAGAAGACAGACGACCACAGCGAGAAACACGACGAGACAGATGCACAGGACTGCTGCTATGGGCACACCGGACCAGCTGTCCTCTGCTCCGTTCTGCGCGAAAGAGAGCTCGTTATCACTGCCCAGCTACCTGCTGCTGTAGCTAATTCGGCGCGTCGTTCGTGCACTGAATTGCAAAGCTACCCACTTCAGCTGCAGTAGGCGATGGATCCATTTTCCATGGTGAAGAACACACGTGAGAAAGAAGAGAAAGGCACCAGTTAGTTGTCACTGTTTATCCGTCTCCGGGCATTTAGTTACACGCATGCGCACGTCAGATGTAGGTGTGGTAGGAATGTAGGGGCGTGGCCAGCTGCTCGATCGGTGAAGTACGCGAAATGGCGTGCGTATCCCCTGCTTTTGGGCGAAGAGAGTGGAGTTTTGGAGGCATTGTCAAAGGCCTACGTAAGCATGCACTTTATTATGCTTCCAGATCCATCTCACGTGGTTTTCTGTATTCTGTACTGTATCAGTCACTCTGTCCTGTATCGCCCGTATATTTAAGTCAGTGTAAAGTGTCAACTCGAGAATAGGAAGCGAAGAAAAAACGGGGAAGGGGAAAAGGGGAGGGAAGAAAGGGGAGAAATGGAAAAGGGAAAGGAGCAAATGGACTCGCCTCTACCTCCGCTACAGAAATCCTTCCCTTTCAGTCAGCGCGACTGACCTTCACTCAACAGGCTAGTATTACTGCAATAATGTACGACTATATATACTATGGGGTTATGTGAGCGACGTAGGCAGTACGTAATGCTGCAGACCATACGGGACTACTGGTTGTGGGTGTGGGCGGGGGTGGGAGAGAGAACGCTGGCTGGGACTAGCGCTCCCCACAGTGAGGAGAAGCTGCTGGCTCACCGAGAGAGCGGTGGTGAGGGAGGGCAGGAGGAGAGGGGGAGGGAGAGGGGAGGGAGCTTCTGTTGTACGAGGATGCCCGCATCATAATGAGCGATTGTCTTTCTCGTGCATCGAGTATGGACGACGCTGAGGTAAACAGTCTCTCCGCTCACATTGCACCCACCGCACCCCACACAACTCTGTCTCTATCTCTTTCACTATTGACCCTCTTTTCCATTTTTGTCCCTGTTGGTTGTGAACATCCCTATTCTCTTCCCTTGTTGTTTGAACCAAAGTAACCCTTTCTCTCCAGTTCGTTACAACCCAATCTAAGTAATTAACACATACCCATCCCCTCTCTCTCTGTTGTGTTACAAACGCAAGTTAATTCCAACCCTTTGTCGCTCCTGTTTGTGATGAATCGAAAGTTAACCCTTTCTCTCCCTACTGATTGTGCAACCACAGTCAACCGTTCGCATCTCTCCATCTTGGTCTAATCGTTTCTCTCCGCTCGTCCTCACTTTTTCTCTCCTCTTTGGTTTGTGACTAACGCTTTCCCCTCTCCGCTGTTGTTTTAAACCAACCCCAGTTGACTGAGCTATGTACTGCAGAAGCTCTGTGGCCTACATGAAGGCGCAAGTTCCTTTCTCTGTCCTTTTGTATTGACCCTCTTTTCAGTTTTGTCCCTGTGCTTGTGAACCACAAGCCGTGTCTCGTCCCCTTGTGTTTTGAACCAAAGTATAACCCTTTCTCCCCAGTTCCGTTACAAACCCAAACTTAGTTAATTAATCAACTCGCGCTCTCTCCTGTTTGTTTACAAACCAAAGTTACTTCAAACCCCTTTCTTTTCTGTTTGTTTGTGAATCAAAGTAGTTTCTCTCCTGTTTCAAGTATGCCACTAATCAATGTTAGTTTCTCTCCTGGTTCACAACCAAGAGGAGAGAAAGGGTTTCACTTTGATTCACAACAAACAGAAGAGAAAGGGTTGAATTAACTTTGGCTTGGTTAACCTTTCTCTCCCCTCTTGGTTGTGAACCACAGTGACACCTTTCTCTCTCTCCATCTTGTGTCAATTTTTTTCTCTCCTCTTTAGGTTGTGACTTAACCCTTTCCCTCTCCCTGTTGGTTGTATAAACCTAAACCCGCCAGTTGACTGAGCTACTGGCAGAAGGCTCTGTGGCCTTCATGAAGAGCCGCTTCCCTGGCAGACTCCACACCCACCAGCCTCGATGGTCTGTGTCTGAAGGTCTCACTGACAAACAAGGTAACGACACTCAGACTCGGTGTATGAATCATTATCGTGTTTTCTCACAGCGTGGGCTTTGAGAGGCGAGGTGTATCGTGCTGGCCACACCCTCACCCCTCGTTTACTCGACTGCGATGCAGTTACCACGACGATATCTCCTGGCTCCACCCACTACTCATCTACGTCCAAGTAAGCTTGGATGAATACCTACACATACACAGACTTTATCCAGTGAAACCTCTGAACAGGACTTCTGAAAAGGTATAAAGGGCCTTTTGTCTCCCCACACTGATCCATTTAGTGTTTCCAATGTATGAGGGACACTCTGAGTATAAAAGGACACTTGCAATGCATGGTTACCCAGGGATGTCTCTTATTCAGAGGTTCACGGTATATACGCTCTTGTCTATATACTGACTGGACTATGACTATATGTGAGGGCCTGTCCTGCTGAGGGGCATGGGAAACGGGACTATATGGCTGGAATGTGAAATTAAGTTTTGTGTTAACTTAATTTTCACATTCCAGCCATACAGGTCCCTTTTCCCATGGCCCCTCACATATTATGTCCTATGGTACTGGTGTGCTGTGCTCCTGAGGTGAGTAGGAGAAGAGTGCTGCAGAAAAGTGGAAATGCGAAGAGATGACAAGCCTCAGCGGAAGAGAGACGGCGCACACTGCAGCTGCTACAGACTGTATGCACAGAGTACATTCACCACCAGTGAGCCAATAGAGTAGTGCTACGGAGTACATTCACCCCGGTGAGTCCAGTAGATCGTGCTACGGAGTACATTCACCCGGTGAGCCATAGATCAGCGCTACGAGTACAGTCACCACGTGAGCCGCATAGATTAGTTGCTACAGAGCTCACATTCACCCCTGGTGAGAGCCCACAGATTAGTGTCGAACGGAGTACATTCACTCCGTGAGCCCATAGATGTAGTGCTACAGAGTAGCCCATTCACTCATCCGGTGAGCCCACAGATTAGTGCTACGGAGTACATTCACACCCCGTGAGCTCATATAGCTCAGTGCTTGTTGTTCTTGAGGAGCAAGAGCAAGTTGCCATACGCAGTTAACCAGATATCAGGACCGAGTGTGCACACTTTACCCAGTTTCTTTTAGTGTCTTTCTACCATGAGATCACGTACGTTTCTCTGTGAACAATATCAGAGACTTGCATGTTAGCGATCCACACTGATATGGCGTGATTGTGCACTGCAGTGTAATCTGCACATACCTGGCCCAAGACTATACCTTCTTCACCTTTTGTTTTCCAGGTACAGAAAGAAAGTGCGGATCGAACAAAACGCACTGGAGACCAACAGAAACGAGCACATAAGGGAAGCAGGAAACCTTTTGTGTGAACGGATCCTCTCTCTCCTCATTCTCAGAGTCCCTATTCCCTGGTAATCAGAGATAGTGACCTGGATGATGCCTGTCAAGTCTGGAGCTGTTCCTGGAGAGTTACTGGGCTGCACTCGCTCCGTCTCCCTCTCTCTCCTCCGCCTCTCTCCCACCCTCTCTGATGGTCTCTCTCTCTCGCTCTTCCCACCCTCTCGATCTCATCCTCTCTGATGTTTCTCTGACATTGAGCTCCATCTCTCTCTCTCTATCCTCCACCCTCTGATCTGAGGTTCTCCCTCCTCCACCCTCATCCATCCTCTCTAATAACATCGAGCTCTCATCCTCACACCTCTCTCCACCTTCTCTAACATTGAGCAATTCACTGCCTCTTTTCTCATGCACACTACATAAGTTTTTTAGTCAACAGAAGCCATCGGCGCTGACATGATGATACACACTGACGTACATCATGTCGGAATTTGTGGTGGGGTCGTGTGACCAACAGAGACCTCTGAGAGAGAGAGAGAGGAGAGCGAATCGGGGAGTGCAGAATCAGTCCATGCGGAGAAAGACTTCGAGCTGTGGTATACCCTCATGTTGGTGAGTCCTTGGCCCCAGTGTAGCCGCTGTAATGGCACGTTTAGTCGTGTCATCGCAGCGGCGCTACGGCGGTTTTTGTCAGTGATGCGAGAGAGTAGCTAGCTAGCTAGCTATAGACCCGAGTTAACTGCAAAAGAGTGCAGGTACTACCCAGTCTTAAGTATCCGTGACCCTCCCCGCGAGCGCAGCAGGGTGCTAGCGATTACTCAATTCACCGGGTGGTTTCCGCACTTTTGTGACTAGCCGCTAGTACTGCGGCAAAAGTCTTGAGAGAGTTCATTGTCGAACTTTACTAGTCGCAGCCACCGCTGTAACAGAGCTCAGAGTGTTTCTCCTCCGGACCCCACCCACTAATAACGTGGAAAAAGTTATGCCCTTGGAATGTGAACACCCTAACTTTTCCACGTTATAGTAGTCTCGTGCCCAGACCCCGCCCTCTCTGAAAGGGGTCTGGTGACTATTATTGAGCGTTTTCTTGGTTCTTGCTGACTCGACAGTCTTACTTTTAGACACCGAATCAGATTGCAGTATTTGCAACCAGCGTGAAATATCACATGGTGTTATTGCAATCGTTCGTATTCCTTCCCCGCTGGCTATATACCCTTAGCGTCCCTCAACCCGTCTCTGCATACATCGTCGGAAAACGTCTGTCCAGAGTGCCTTTCTACACTCGGTTACGACAGCGGTCCGAACGACCAACTAAAGTGATTACGAAGTTCACAGGGTATGATGTTTTGTCTCCCTGCCTACCTGGTCAGGAAAAGCCTGTGTTTCGGCTTGTTTAACCGCTGTTATGACACGCACATCCATCGTACATCATTCCAGCCGCTCTAGCAGCGGGACGACGTGAAGAAGGTTCTAATACTCTCATACTTCCCTACTGCTGCACAGTGTCTGCATGCTAGCTATATAGCGCATGCGCTCTCGTCATCTACTGCGCGCCCGCGCCTGTATCTGACTCAGCAAAAACCAAGAAAACGCTCATAGCCACCGCGCGCACCAACCCTTTTCCTCGAGAGAGGGCTGGTCTGGGCACGAGACTACGTTATTAGTGGGTGGGGTCCGGAGAACACTCTGAGCTCTGTTACCAGCGGTACACTACTAACCCTGGAAATGGCTCGCACCAGTAAAGTCGACAATGAATTCTCTCAAGCTTTTGCGTACTACAAAAGCGTCAGGAGGCCTCCTTCAACAACATTACTATGAAGGTAACCGCACATACAGTATTACTGATTACAATTCCACGCCATTCTGCCAATCTACAGTTGCGGAGGGCCAGAGGAGGGAAGAGGTTTGCGCACAATCAACATTCCTAAGCAGTTCGCGCATGCGGTTAAAATGGCAATCAGTATCATAGCTGTGAAGGAAGTGGCTCTGGCTGTGCTCTGGCGGCCAGCCCTTGCTAGTAGCTCTCGATTGTGTTTATGTCAGTGTGTCCCACGGAGAACACCCGTAGCCTTAGGCAAACGCCAGTGTGGCCATTACTGCAGAAACGTGCTTTTGACTCAGCGGTTTGACTTGGTGCGTGGCGAGCCATCACACTCTCACGCGCACGTGACGCAACGTGACACGCGTGCACAACCTCCTCTCTGGCAGGCTACGGGTCGTTGATGCTAACGTTACCTGACTATACATTCTTCCGCCAGCGTGAATGTGGCACTACGCTAGACTGGCAGTGCGTCAAGGGGACGCATGTTCTTCCGGTGGTGCGGGCTGACCATCATCCTCTCGGGCCATGGATTTCTCACTCGTTATCGTCGGTGGCGTAGTGCATGCCTTATTCCATGCTGGGAGGCACATTATTCCTATGCTCTACCACTACGAAAGCCACTGAATCCTGTGTTTCTTTCTTGCATATTGTATGTAAAACCTGAGAGTGTAAGGTGAGGGCAGGTATTTTGAAATGGCTTTTCATTGGAATACATTGATGCTGCACATACCTGTGGGAGTCATGGTTGCTATGCAAGTCTGCTTGACTGTAAGGCAAGAACCGGGAGTATATATATAGGCCCATGCGCAGTATCCTCGCTTTCTATGTATGCGTAAGGGATGTGTCTTGCAACTAATGAACCATCTCTCTGGCTCAAGCCCTATCGTCTGCAACCCTGTTTAAAAGCGGGGTTCTGTGCAGGTATAAATCCGGGCTTTGCCTGGTGGGACTCATAAAATTGTGAATTGTGAGCAGCTTTATCTCTGCGTTCTGGCAAGCATTTTTCTTTTAACCTCATGAGCATGTAAATTAGTAATATGGAACTTCAAATGAGTGTTTGCCATTGTGCTTGAGTTGTGATGAACTTTTTTCTTTTTTCAGAATTCCCTTTGGAAATGGCAGTATCCAGCAACCTCTCTACACTGGATGTGAGCAATGCCATTAACCAACTGACTGTGGAAGAGACAAGAGACCTAGTGTTCCAAATGGGTGTACCGCTAAATGTCTTGAAAGATATCGCAGTCCCAGTATGAGTGGCGAGAAACCGAAAGCAAATTTTGTGCAGACTTGGCTTGATAGGACTCCCGATGCAAGCTGGGAGAAGCTGGTTGCTGGCCTGAGGAAGATCAACAAAAACTCCCTGGCAGCCGAGATTGAATCCGAACATCTTTCAAGAGCCCTAGTCCCCCACAGTGGCTCTCCCTCTTTCCCTTCAACCGCCCCTGCCTCTGCCTCTCCATCAGAAGTTGGCACAACTGATCCTATTTCGAACGACGTGTTCTGCCAAGAAGTGGTAACAGTTAAGGTCATTCTAGAGCAGTTGCAAGACGAATTTTATGAGGTAATGACTAGAACACACTCATCTTTGTCCGATCAAGAGAAGATTGACAACTCATTCTTAGACCGATTTCGTGATTATCTCCTGGTTCTGCCTGTTGCCAAAAGACAGGTTCACATTCGTTTCTTCATTAGAAATGAAGATGAAATCCTTGCAGCTGAAACCATTAAGAAACTCTTTGCCATCGTAAGCCGTTACTGCAACTACACCAACTATGAGATAATCTTCCACATTGTGAAAAGGTTCTGCCATGAACTGAAAAGAAGAATGCTGAAATACCGTGACTCTTTAACCAGTTTTGAAAAGTCTACAGCCGTTGATGTCTACCTCAGTGCCATTTCAGCTCATCCAGGTGGTGCAATCAGGAAAGGGTACATCCGCATGACCATGAAGATCAACAAGCCACCCTCCGAGTGTAAACTATATGAGATCCGAGAGTTGAAGGAATCCATCGAGGAGAATGCAGCTTTAGAGTCCCATGCCACGTACATTGAAACCCCACTGCCAGGCTCTGTGGTGGTACGGCTGCTTGTTCCCGAGGAGGTTGGTTGGAGGGTGGGCGTGGTCTTGATGTCTCCTGCCTTCAGGGAGAAACGTCTGACATACGTGTCAACATATTCAACTAGACATCTTCTCAAAGACTACTTGGTAAGAAACAGCTTGCAACTTTTGTCAGGGCAGTGAACCCCATTATACCTGTATGACAGAAACAGGAATTATATCTCATCCTACGTTTTATCTAGAAAGGTGAACTGCAAGTGGCCTCTGGAAAAGGAGATGTGGAGGCAGTGATATCACTGAGTGCAGTTGCCGACCCTTATTGGGTAAACCCCACTAGTTACTAATCAATGTTGTAGCTTTGCTGACCCTCAATATAGTAAGCTGTTATCAAATTTGATTATCGGTGATAAAAATAAAGAGTAAAAGTTGTACTGTTAGAAGAGTTTGCTGTTTCAATAAAGGAGAGCAGACTTAGCTACCACGACTATCTTACTGCGCAGGACTCTCTTTGTTCACTTCTACAAATGCCGTATACTCTGATTTTTCATAGTTGTTTCTTTTTCGCGGACTCACCATTCACAAATGAATATTCATTTCCCTATTCACATAGATTGGAGTTGTTACAATGATGATGGCTGTTGAAAAATTTGGCAACGCTGAAGTTATTTCACGGCTATTACAGCCTGGAGCTAACATTGATGTGCAGGACAAGGTATGAAGTTTAGCATTTACTACACTTGGTGGTTGCACATAATATTAGAGTGTCGGGCTGTGGTTTGCTCTGTAGTCTTTACTGCTTTGTGGTGTGTATCAGTGTCCCTGCTTACCCAACTACATTTTGCTCTGTACAATACATTGCTTTACGCGAATGGTTCCTTGGGGGCCTTTGTAGCGTCTTTTCTGCGCTTGAACGACAGCTCAGGGCCCCACGGCCAGAGCATCAATGTTCAAGTGCAGCAAAAGACACTACTAAGGGAACTATGCTTCTGCCTGCACATGTTCTGTCATCACACAGGAAGGAAACTCTTTACTGATGATTGCTACCAGGATGGGTTGGACTGACGTTGTTTCACTACTGATTAATGCTGGGGCAGCGCTGGATTTACAGAACAAGGTGCAATTATCTGATACCGTTTGCGAGTGAAGCGAGCCCACCTACATAGTCGCAGGAATTGCACAATTTTTGTATGCAGTCGGCACTGACCATACCTTAAGCTTTTAACAACTGTACTCGCATTCGTTGTCATGTTTGTTCTAGTTACAATGCTATGTTCTCTATAGGAAGGTGACTCTGCTGTAATACTAGCCACAACGTACAACCACCTGACAGTCTTGAAGGAATTTGTCAGAGCTGGTGCTGACTTCAACCTTCAGAATGAGGTGACCTCACAGCTTGTAGTATAGGAGCTGTCGTAGTACATGCAAACTGGTGACTATAGCGTAACGGTAGTGCGCTGCGCTGCCGAGGATCAGGGTTCGATTCCCAGCATCACTGTGCAATGAGTCCACGTCTTAACACCGTCCTCTTTTTCTGCTATATTCAGGACGGGCTGACGGCTCTTATGATTTCCTCAAGATCTGGCAGAGCTGATCTCACAGAGACACTTTTGCTGGGAGAGAATATCTCTCTCGATATTCAGGCTGTAAAGTAATTGATACTCAATTACTGTTACACATTAGAATACCTGCATCCCTTGCTATATCCATTCAGACCAATGGGTGGTCAGCTCTCTTTTTTGCTGCTGACAACGGAGATACCACGACAACAGAATTATTGGTCAAAGCAGGGGCTAACCCTCACCTCAGAGATCACGTGAGGACATGTAGACGGCACTGTCCATACTGAATTAATTTACACTAATGCGAGCAGTTGCATATTTTAGAATCTGAAAAGCACTAAAGTGCAAATCCTCGGCGAACTGCGCATGCGCGGTACCGCTAACCGATGGGCTGGGCCATTGGCGTTTACTCGCGGTCTCCCGCTAGTAGCTCGCGGAGAGTCTGACACGGGCTAGCTACGGTAGTAGATAGCATGCGGGAGTCGATACACACCCTTCGCTGTGGCTTCTTGTGCCTCCAAGGTACACGGAGCAAGCGGATCAGGTCGAGGTGAGCCAGCATACAGCGGTGCGCACACGTCTAATATACGCATGCGCACCGCTAATTGATGGGTTGGGCCACGCAACGCGGTCCGCGACCGTGCCAGATTGTCGCTCTCGAACGCAGTCGTTTCAGCAAAATCGCCATTTTAGTTTTCTAGCCCATGTAACGCTAAAGCTGTTGGTATCACTCATAAGCCGCCTCGTTGCCTGTAGTGCGAGAATAGTCGTAGACAGACAGACAGACAGAACGACTACCGTATATGGAACACCAAATCCGACAAAACTCCGACGTAACATCATCCTGTTTTGCGCACGCTCTGGGAAGCGTTTGTGTAAACGTTTTTGGCAAACGTTCGTTGAAACGTTTCTGTAAACGTTTAGCCAATCGTTCACGACATAACCAGCGCATGCGCAGTATACTTCCTCGTGGCCACAATGAATTCCGGAGGAGATGACGATCGTCCTGCCCCCTCTCCTCAAAATGGAGAAGGCGAAGGAAGCCATCGAGTTTCTTAGACTCCATTGTCCCAAGGACTGCAGTGGGGGCATTTTCTGCACGTCAATGCATGCTCTTCAACGGATAATGCGCATGCGCATGAAAATGTATACTAAACGAATGCTTAGCTAATCAACGAACGTTTCCTACAGCCTATCAACGAACACTTCAAACGTTTAGCTAAACACTTACAGAAACGTTCCAACGAACGTTTACAGAAACGTTTCCACGAACGTTTGCCAAAACGTTTACACAAACGCTTCCCAGAGCGTGCGCAAAACAGTGTTACGTCAGAGTTTTGTCGGGTTTGGCGTTCCATAACCATAACCCTCGCTGTGGAGGGTAATGAAGTGCAAACCCCTGGCACGTACCACTAATTGATGGGCTGGTTTAGTTTTAGCTGTTAGCTACTCGGTCTCTTGCCAGCTCGCGCAGAGTCTGACGCGGGCTAACTACACTACTAGATAGCATTCGAGAGGCGATACACGCCCTGTGTTACATCTTCTGGTGCCTCCGAGGTACGCAGAGCACGCTGATCGATCAGACCGTGGTAAGCCGTCCCGTATTTGCATATGGCTTTTTCGCGCTCTAGTTTTGCAACGGAGCAGTTTCAGAGAATACCTTCGTTGTCCGTTAAGTAGGTCATATCCTTCGTGAGACGAACGAACATCCGTGAAGTGAGATGTAGAGTAACAGACAGACGCACACACAGACAGACCTATATAACTACCGTACCATCGCTGCGCATACGCGCCGAGGGTAAATTAATGTGCAGTGCTAGTGACAAAATCACACAATTCAGATGACTATTTTGTAGCCTTTGTCGCTCACCAATCATGCTATAATAGTAATAGTAACACTCTGTCACTTGCTTTGTACAGTATAGTGTGGTATTACGCTTGCACTGTTCCTTCACACCACCTTCCAGAATGGCCTGACGGCTCTGGATTTTGCAGTTGCTGATGGCCACAGAGCGGTGTGTCGGCTACTGAGAAAGTATATGCAAGGCCAAGACGTCAGAATAGATGAGGACTCATCAGGATCTACTGCATCCCTGGAGTACGTCGAGACAGCATCTACAACGTCACAGGAGTCAGGAGGCGACACTTTGTCTCAAGGCTCGATAGGGTCTGCAACTAACTCACAGGAGTCTAAACCATTTGCAGACAAATCTGAGGTTGCAGCACAGACAGAAACATATGACTCTAGACCATCTACAGCCGAGCCAGAATACTCTAAATCGCAGGACTGCACCGCTAAATCTGAGGAGCCATCATCAACTGAATCACAGGGGTCAGTCCATACATCAGCACACTCATCCCAGGAGCCACCATCTGAGACACCAGAAGAAACATTGCTATCAAGAGCTCCTCAGGTACATACAATTTTGTCGCACAGGCTGATCTTTCTTCAGAAAACTAGTTCTATATAGTAGGATCACTTTACTTGCCTATTTTAACCAGGGTTCAGACTATTTTTACATACAGTCCCACACAAACAATGCAACCACCTGTCTTGGAATCTTGCTACTATAAAAATATACATAATATTATTCTCCTGGTTGACTTCCCATGCTCAACTCTCCCACATTTTGACCCAATCCACGCAGGCACTCCGAGATCGGGTAAAGAATGCCAGGGCCTGGGTGAAGGCAGCATTCAAAAGACTCCAGGACCGTGTGTCCAGATCTAGTAAGAAGAATCTGGAGTCGGAGGGCCAGAGTCAAGGAGAGGAGATATTTCAGCCGATACCAGTTTTACAAGACAAGGAACTGATATCCGATCGAACTGATCCAGAAAAAAACATTGTAGATGATTAATGACCAGTGAAATTACAAACGATAAGCACTACAGTGCAAACCCTCGGCACACTCGGATGTACACATTGCGCCCATATGCCTGGTGGCAGAAAACGCACATGGTAACAGACAGATGTATATACAGACAAAGAAAAATTAATGCTTGCTCCAAATGTGTCCTTTTTGGAAGTTCCACTGTATAAACCAGAGACGGTAGGCTTCCAACTCCCCCTCGATCTGAATTTCCCTATTCGAATAGCTAAACCGGAGCAATGAGCAGGTTGACCTCATCATAGATAAGCTGACAGTGAACAGAATAGTAACACATAGACAAACACCTAATGGACCCATGGTGTGAAAAGCAGTCAAATCTTCAGAATCCGTGCAGCTTCAGCTGGTCCTTGGTGCAGAAGCCGACCTGGAGGAGAAACTCGTAGATGTGGTTCCTCTGGTCTCCGGTGAGCTGGATGACCTCTCCGTACTCTGGGTGCTGGACCACCGTCCCATTGCAGGCAAACTCCTGGTGTAGTACACACACACACAGAACACAGACAGTGGAGAGCATCTACTAGGGGCATGCACTGCCATATCCCTTTCGGTACAAAAGAAAGCAAAGATCCGGATGAGTGACACATGTCATAAAATGTCTCAGCAGGATGAAAGGCAGGCACAGAGGCTGTGCGTAGGTTAAAGAAAGATCGCCGCAGCGCGCGTGCGCGGGATTAAAGGGGTGTCGATTTTTGGGCACATGCGTGCAGGAGGGTTGCTGAGAAACGCCGCCGATCGGGCCGAATTCGTGACTCGGCGCGCATACCACTGTTACCACGTTTTCTACTCAACTGCGTTCAAAAGTCACGGCGTGAAAGACAGTGAACAAGCCAATATGCAAATTAGCACAGGCTTACCCCGAACGGGTCCGCTTGCTATGTGTATCGGCACAAGTGAGTCACAACGAAGGGCGTGTATCGACTCCCGCATGCTATCTACTACTGTAGCTAGTCCGTGTCAGACTCTCCACGAGCTACTAGCGTGGAGACCACGAGTATATATTAAGTCATGTTCACATAAACCATAACTCACACACGCACACGCACACACTCACACATTATTATAGCAAATAACCAGGGGAGTTTTGTAATTTTAATTTCACTTCAGGTCTTTATCAGCAGTTCGTCTGCTGCTTTGCGATACGCCTTTGCGTACTTTGAGCCGTTATGGGTGTCCAAAGCCCCGTCCACGATGTCCCATACCCCGGCTACGATACCCACAACGCTGAACACACCGCTCAAAACTTTTGCGCCTGCCGTTATCCCAAAAACTTTGAACCCTGGGGCAGCAATTCCTGCCATGCCTCGTACGTCTGCCTGGATAAATCTAGCGATTGCAGTCGAAAATTTGATGGCCTTTACCGACGAGACCACATTGTATCCCTTGTAGACAATATTATATCCAAATGTCTTGGCCCAGGATGCAATTTTCACGCTGTCCCCTCACTCTGTTTCTCATAAAGCGATCGCAACTTCTCGATCTCATTCTTAATAGTATATGCCTCCAGGCCATGGTGATGGCAAAAAACGCGTGACTGCGAGCGCGTGCACGCGCGCCGAGCTAGGGGCGTGACTTCCAAGCGCGCGTTCCGACTCGAACTACCCTTTGCTATTTTCTGCATCCGCCCCTGACCCCCCACTATAGAAAGTATAATTATACCGAAAGAGAGCCCACGACCATAACCTGCTGTCATTTATTTCGCACATCAAAGTGTATAGTAAACACAGTATATGGAATAGCTTCCAAACCCCACAACATGGCTTCACACCAGGGAAATGGTCAGTGTAAAATAGACAGTTTACTCTCTTCCACTTACTCATACAAGATTATAATTCTTACTACACTCCGTCACAACAAACAAATGTCTCATACATTTTCAGCATATGCATAGGCAGGTTCGGGATTGTTTAATTCACTAGAAGACTGAGTACCCTTATCCTTCCTCTCTGGCACTGCATACTCTAGATCATCATCTGAATAGATATCAATGGTGCTGCGCTGAGGCTTCTCAACCTCTGCCAGAGAGTAGAGTGGGTTCGCAAAGTCGTGCTCCTTGGGATCTTTATCCGTTTGAGGCTGCGGAGCTTTCTGGTCGTTTCCGAAACTGTACACAAGGTTATCGAGATGTTTCTCTCCATCTTGGAGCATGTCGTGTGACTCGTAGTGCTGGTTAATATTGACCTGTTTGGTGTTCACCGCCATTTGCTTGGTCTTCCATCTGAAGCAGATGATTACCACAACTACCGCCGCTATCAAGACCAGGACAAGGAAGAGAGTGACTACAACCCCTGATACTATACCTCCAGTACTGCCAGTACCCGACTTATTCTTTCTTGTTATAACATTGTTGTCATTCCTGGTGTCTTCAGTGTCTGTTTCTCTGTCAACATCATCGTCATCATTGTGGTCATCACTAGTGTCAACCTCGGGATCTACAATGACTGTGACGTCGGGACTGCAGTCTACCAGACCCAACTGGCAGACTGTGT